ATCTGGGGTGAGAAATCTAAGAAAAAAATCTACAAGTTCCAGGTCTCATACAGGAGATATCAAAATTGGAGTTTACATGTATGAGCTTATGCTAGTGTACTTCTAAATGTTGACTCTCTTCAGATATATTTAAATTTAATTATTTTTCTACCAAAAAAAAAAAAAAAACAGGCCACGTATATTGATGACCCCTACAGCTGCATATAGTTAGCAAGTAGTAAATCACATTCATATCCAACATAATGAAAGCATTTACCAAAACTTCCTGTTTTAACAGAAAATACGTCAACACGGAAGACAACTGGGCTCATCTTGCGATTTCACCGGGTCTTTATCAGGAAAGCATAGCTATTAACAGACGCTAATGTTGTTTTTACAATTATTCCTTTTGCACAGTCCATATTGCAACAGGTTGCAACTCATAAAGAAACAACGCACTTGCTGATATCTTCTTTAGCAGCTGGTGGAATTTAGAAGTTTCAAAAAGAGGACCGCTAATCCCTGCAGGTTTTCACAAAGTGGCTTGTACAAACCGTTTCATTGCCAGGATGCTGGTTTCAGGGTTCAGGGTAAAATCAGATTACTTCCAATGGCTGAAATCAGAGGAGGCAGCGTTGAGCCTGCGAGACGTGAGCCTCTAAACAGCTGAGGGGTCACTGCTCTCTGTGTTCACCCTCACACATTCGTAAGCCGAATCACATGTGCACGCAGCTCCCCTCTGGATCTGTTCTTTGAACGCTTAGTTTTTAGATATTTCCACAAAGGCATTTCACAGTTGCTCAGTTTATTTAAGGACACTTCGCTGTACCTTCTCTGACAATGAAATGCATGATTCATTTAGAAAAATAACATTACGCCATTTGACAGACACATTACGCCATTTGCATCAAATGTTGTTGTCGTTGTTTTTAAACAGGCCAGAGTACGTGTGATCAGCATACTTGTCTTAGTAATTTGTAGGGCTACACCTCTACTAAGTCTGATGACAGATCCCATAAAATTATGGCTATTACCAGGAATCCTCTGCAGTCTCTGAATGCCTTTGGATGGCTACGCTGGTGCTGATGCCACAAACAAAAGGTTCTGAACATTCAACTAAATCCTGAAAATTTTCAGGAGGCCAGAAGGCTACTGCCCTTCTCCTTAAGTTTTATTGCAAGGTCTCAAGTAAGTCAAGTGATCTGCTCAGGACAAGCCATCCAACCTATCTTTAGCCTCTGCGAGCAAGTGAATGGAGAGCCTGACTTATCTTCACTGCTGTCATCGAGGCTGCCAGTATTTTTAGGGGACAGCAGCAGCTGCAAAAGCATTTAACGGTCTTCTACGAACAATGACACTAGGGGTGTCTCAGGACTAAACGCCATAGAGATTGAGGGACTGCTGGAGCATTCAAAGAAAAGCTTTCTGATATGGCTAAAATCATCTTAAAAGGGGCATGTAAAAGCTTTGGCAAAATGGGCAGGTGACACTGACTAGACGTTACTGAGGAGGACATACCGCAACAAACTTACCGAAGTGGAAAAGGATTATTCTTTTTTTTTTTTTAAACCTACCGCTGGACGTGAGAGCCAGTGAAGCAGGAGAAGTTGGTTGCCACGGAATGTATATTGACAGTTGTCTCTAAGGACTGAAGAGAGGTAGGATATGTTTGTTAGCAAAGTGCAGTTTCCCTGAGGTCAAAGGTCAGTCTAATTAAATGAGGAGCACAAACAGGAGGTTAATCTCCTTTTAAAGTCCTTAGGGAAATTCCTAATCTGGATTGATGATGTTATACATTTAAACCTTTAACATTCATCCCAATTGGTGATATAATAAGAGTATCTTCCCTGTTTGTTTCTTTTGGATTTGAGTTCTTCAATGTTGATTTTAATGCGGGACATCTGAACATCTGTTTTCTTCATTTGGACAATATATACACTATGCAGTGGATATATAGAGTATATGGTAATAGAATTAGTGTGCTTAAAGCTCTTCTAGGGAGATTCTCATAAGGTAGTTTATGTGTTACATATATAATGTGTTTGTCTTGTTTGTAGCGTAGCACAAACCTCAATGCGTAGCATGATGAATAACCAGCAGACGTTTAAGTTTCTGAAGAGGACACCAGATCGTTTTCCTGAAGTTAGCTGTGTGTCATAGATTCCCAGGACTAGCGATTTATGTGTTCTGACATCCTAAAACAGATAAACTAGGCCTGGTGTATAAACATTCCCCTGTACACTTCAGAGGCCAAACATGCAGCATGATTGAAACTGAGAAGCCACACATAAAAAAAATATCATATGAGGGCACATTAAACCAACATGGTCTGGATTGCTTCTTATGAACAGAGAATATTTTCAGAGAAAGATATCACTTAAATGTACAGAGAAAGTGTTTCTTTCTTAAAATGAATGACAAGCAAACAAATTTTGACAATGATATTTAACACATAAATTTGTCACTGCATTTGGTAAAAGGGGTGTGAGAGTGGCAGCATATTTTGACTGAGAGGTCCCCATAGGGTGTGTCTTGCGTTAGTGTGTGAGACCTGTTTTGTATGTCCATTCAAGTTCTGTAGTGTGCTTTGTGATACCTGACACATGCCCTCTCACAGGTCTTTATTTAGGGCATACTATATAAAGCACTTTCCCATTGAAATACAGCACCAGCTGTGTTAGTTATGTGTTGTGGTCGCTGTTGCAGTATGGCTAAAAGACAGTTCACCTCTAGACAGTTGGCTTGAGCTCTTCTCACACAAGGCATAATATCCAAGAAAATTCTGGGTATTAATACTCTGGTGTAATAGAACCCTTTTTCTCTACGGAGAGCCACGCTATCAAATGCTCAGCAACTAGTTTTTAATGAGCCTGTATACTTTAATAGATTGATGATTTGAGAAATAGCTGAAGCAGTTTTTCAAAATTATTGGGACATGAAAAGTTTAGTAATTCATTTTTCGTTTTCTGAGAAGACAAATTCAGTTAATGGACAATTAATGCTATGAACAGGTCAAGTCACTGCTGAAAGGCTGAACCAACACTATATTATATTACTTATGTAAATAATGGCAAAAAGTCAATTGTCAGATCCAGTGCCAAGTCTAATTCTGCCTTTAAGTGGAGTCAAAAATCTATTAATTATGAATTACTTACAGGTTGGTATAGAAAAGAATCAACCCCCTTTAAAATAATCACATTTTGTTGCTTTGCAGCCTGAAATGAAGGCGGACACAGTTTTTGTTTTATCCAGCTGTATTTACTCAGTGCAACTTATAACATCCAGGTAAAAGATATAACACCAACACGTAGAAAGGAAAAAAATAAAAAAAATAAAACTGAATCACTGAGTTGGAAAACGTATCATCCCCTTGTGTCAGTGCTTTATGTGCAGCCTTTAGTCTGTTGGGATATGTCTCTTCTTTGCAGAACTGCTCAAGTTCAGTTCAATTTGATGGTGGCCGTTTGTGGACTGCAGTGTGCAAGTCATTCCACAGATTTTCAATGGGGTTTAATTCTGGGCTCTGACTAGGCCATTGTAAGAAAGTTCGTAGTCACGGGAAGAAGGAGGCGGGAACCGGCGAACATTTAAAGATTTAATAAAATAAACAACCACGACAACGGCGGCCGCAGCGTACCTGGGGGTAAGGACAGACAGACGAGGCGAGAGAAAAGGAGACAGAAGGATGAAGAGAGACAGATACGACAGAGGGGAGAGAGGAAAAGAAAAAAAAGAAAAAAATTATCGGTCCGGTTCCCGGACACACTGCCGCTTGGTCCTCATCCGGCTGAGAGGCTCTCACTCGCGGTGCCATGCGATGGTACTGGACATCGTTGGTGGACGGCCCACCGCTCCTCCTATTGAGGGCAGCCGGCAGCAAGTCCCCCGTTCAATTATGGCAGATGGCAGCAGGCTCCGGCCTCCTGGCGAACGGGGCCGACTCCTCCGCTCCCTCTCGGACGGCAGCCACCCCTCCTCGGCGGTCTCTCCGCTTGTTCCTGCTGCCCGATCTCCTCAGCACCGCAATCCCCCTCAGCAGCGAGGGCTCTCTGACAGCGTGTCCCTCCTTCCTCCCGGGTTTGGGCACCAATGTAACAAAGTTCGTAGTCACGGGAAGAAGGAGGCGGGAACCGGCGAACATTTAAAGAAGATTTAATAAAATAAACAAACACAAAACGAAAGTAAAGTGGCAGCCCCTCGCGGACGACTGCCGCACACAAAATAAAGTCCAGGCCTGGTCCTCTCTCGTCCAACACGGTTGTCACTCCTCCCTGTTATACTTCCGGAGCTCCTCCATGAGACTCGAGACCGGTGAGTGGTGCAGGTGTTGCTCATTATCAATTACTCCACCGGCCTCGCTCCGTTCCCACGGCTCTCGGCCCCACCCCCACTTGTCACAGCCATCTAAGGACATTCACCTTTTTCTCCTTCAACCACTGTGTGGTCAGTTTTGCTGTGTGCTTTGGGTCATTGTTATGTTGGTGATTATTTTCTATACCTACTGTAAATGATCAAGCAAAGACGTATTTATCTGTAATTTATCTGTATCTCAATTAAATTCAGTAATTTACCGTGAGACTGACTACATGAGTATTGGTGGCCCCTGGACAGTTTTTAACGAAGGGTTTAACAAAATTCAAAAGTGAAGAATTGGCTGTCAATTCAATTTATGACTTGCCCCCAACCCCACCCAAATTCTAACCTATCAAACAAGCCAACATTACCTTCAAATTTCCTTATAGTTAAAATTAGTCACATGGATTTCTTTAAAATGTATAAACTAGACTTCTTTACATTTAAATTCAAATCACAATTTTGCGTCCTGTTTGCTTCCTCAATTCAAACTCAGGATTTGAACTGGAATTTAAAATGCATTCAATATTCAATGTTAACTTGGTATTTACAGCACATACTGTATTATATACATAATGTATGAAACTGTTGGTTATTATTAAAGCATTAATTAAATTAATTTTTTCTATGTTTCGATTCAGAGACTTGATAAACAGCTAGACAACAAAATTCTTCCAGAGTAATATAGAGACTGGATGCCTGTAGCCTGTCAATCTGAGTGGAGGTTGGCAAGTGAGCAGGGATGGATGTGTTTGGTGGAGCGCCACGGTTCCTGGCCTACCCTCGTCCTGTGGTAGTACAAAGTGGCACAGATGCAGTTCTGAAATGCCAGATTGGTGGGGATCCCAGACCAGCAGTTATATGGGAGAGAAACAATGAGAAAATTCACCCAGAGGGCAGATACCGGTTGTTTGAGGATGGCAATGTCTACAACCTTATCATAACTTCTGTGACAGTGGAGGACAGTGGGCAATACATCTGTAAGGCCAAGAACTGCATTGGAGAGACTTACGCAGCAGCCACTTTGAAAGTACAAGGTGAAGCACAGGAGATGGAATTTCGGGAGGAAAACAAGCCACGCTTCCTCATCAAGCCCCTCTCGACTAGAGTTGGACGAGGAGAGGATGCCGTGTTTTCTTGTAAGCTGTGGGGAAACCCTAGACCAGAAGTGATGTGGGAGAAGGATGGCAAGAAGTTGAATGAGATCTTTGAAAGCGCACATTTCGCCATCAGCTATCAGGATGGAGGTTGGTTCCAACTAAAGATTTTCAAGACAAGAGCACCAGATGGAGGGGTGTACACTTGTAAGGCCAGGAATGAATTTGGAGAGAGTCTGGCGGGGGCTGTGCTGTTGGTGGATGCTAGACCAGGACATGAGGATGAAGGGAACCGTAACGGATACACTAACGGCCACTGGAAAGCACATCAGGGAAAACAGAGAAGTGGAAGGCAGGTTGCGACAAGGCTGAAAGATGACCCACTGCCAAACTCAGCCAAAGTGAAAATGTTTGCAGTGACAGAAGGGAAACATGCAAAGTTTCGGTGCTATGTAACAGGGAAGCCAAAACCTGAAATATTATGGAGGAAAGATGGGAGACTTATCTTATCTGGGAGACGGTATCTTTTGTATGAAGACAGAGAGGGTTACTTCACACTTAAGGTTCTCTACTGCAAACAACAGGACAATGGAGTTTATGTCTGTTCTGCTTCAAACACTGCAGGCCAAACCCTGAGTGCGGTACACCTTATCGTCAAAGGTAAGAGTCATTTGATTTGGAATATGATAAATGCAGTACGATACAAGTGCAATGTAATTGTATGGTTTAACCATCTGCTCTATAACATATATATTAATTTGGCCTAAACTTTATATGGCCTGTACAATTAAGGAGCCAGTTGCTATCTGTTGTGTTAAGCATTTGGTACCCTAATCAACAGTAACTTTTATGATGATTCAGTTGTAGGAAATGCATCAAGGGAGCTTTAAAATTACCAGATCTGGCCAAACTCATTAACATGAAATAGATTCCATTCAGTCCTATATCTACAAAGTCATTTAGGCTTTGAAAGGCCTGAGGACCACACATGTGATAGAAATCACTAGAGGCAAGCTCATATTTCTCACATGGACCATGACTATATTGTATCAGAGCCAGGCACTCTATAAAGCTCACCAGGTCTAAACTGAAAGTATGACTACTAAGACAAAAACAAATTTACTGTCAGGATGTGGTATACTCTTGAAGACATAATTCTTAAAAGCTATATATACTGTATAATGTACAGTATAAAAAAGAGATAAAAAGATGAAAAAAGATCATTAAAAGCAACATTTCTGAAATGTTACATTACAGTATATTGTAAAGTCTTACTGCACTGGCATATTTGGGGATTTTTTCCCCACTTTTTTAAAACTAGTTTATACTTCTGAAAATCTTATGTAGGGTTGCTTCTTAAGTAAATTTACAGTGATTCAAGAATTTTAAACAGGAAAACTAGACAAAAATACTAATTTCAGTTCAAATAGTACGATTACCTATTAAAATAAAATAGTATAGCAATATGAAAATAATATCATTTACGGATTACCTCCTTATCACATTAGGAAATATCAACCAGATTACTTTGAATTTCCATGCATGAATATCCATGCTGGTCGAGGCTAGTGTATGCTAGCGCTGATCTAAAAAGTTAACAAGCATAGTCATGCAGTTAACTAGCAAACTGTGTGCTTATTGACAAACAAAGCATGGCCTTTCTGGTTGAAGCTAGTCCATCAAAGCAGTCTTGCTGGCTAAGCTAGTTAAAAAGCATGGTGAGGACACCAAGAACATTATCACCCAAAACACAACATACTGTATGCTTGTCACTGTCAGCAGGGTAGGTATTTGATAGCAACTGTATCTCTGCAGAGATAATGCAGATCTATACATTACTGACATAAAAAAAGAACTTTCCTTTTTGGGCTCTTTTCCTTCTTGTAACAACAGAGCCACCTGTCCGATTTAAGCAACCACTAAATGACTTGCAAGTATGGGAGAGAGACTTGGCTGTTCTTGAGTGTGAAGTTCCTGAGGACTCTGTTCTAATCACATGGTACTTAGAAGACAGACGACTACAGCCTGGAGCCAAATATGGGATGGAGGAGTGGGGGACAAAGCGGCGACTCACAATCCGGGATATTGGGGTTGATGACGATGGGATATATCTCTGTGAAATGGCTGATGGGGGCAGAAGCATTGCTGAGGTAGCGGTCAAAGGTAAAAAAAAAAAAAAGTTACATTAACTTGCTTGCATCTGCCTAGGAAAAAAATTCTGAGCATTTGCAACTGTATAGCTTAATTGATTTCAAATTAAATGTAAACTTACTTAAACAACTTACTCTTGAAGGAACCATTGTAAGAAAGCTGCCACGAAAAGTTGATGTTCTGGAGGGGGAAAATGCAGCCTTCTGTGTGGAAGTGGAGGAGGAAGAAATGGACATTCATTGGTACAAAGATGGAACAGAGCTAAGGGAGACCCATCAGACAATTCTCAAATCCTTTGGAAGGACACACATCTTGGTTTTTGTCAACACCACACCACAAGACTCTGGTTTGGTCATGTTCTATGTGGGTAGATCGAAGACGTCATCTCAGCTAAGGGTGAAAGGTAAGAAAATATTTGTTTGGGATTAACAATATGTAAACACTCCTATTCCAGAATGTCCAAAGGTATTCATTTTCAATTAACCCCTTCTTCTCTTGTGCTAATTTAAGCTGCAAGGCACTGTCCACCAAGCTGTCCTATTGGGGTACAGATAAACACAGAGAGAGCGAATGCAGCTCTCCTTTCCTGGTTTCCAGCACAAGACTCTCGAAAGAATCCACCTTCAGGGTATATAATTGAGAGACAAGAAGTTGGCTCACAGGAGTGGCTGCAATGTTTAACCACAGACTCTGCAACCTCAGTGGAGATTCTTGGCGACAGCGTTCCATGCGAGGCAGACTACAGATTTCGGATATGCAGTGTCAACAAATATGGAAGGAGTGGAAATGTTGAGTTCCCTCGAGCAGCTCACCTTGGTAAGCTCCTAATTAAGGCTATCCAACTCATACATATGAAAAAAGCACTAACAAATTTAATTCCCAATTCCAGTTCCAGTTGCCAGAATCCAAGCACCTCTACAAGATGCTTTAGTGCCAGAAGGCCAGGATGCCTGCTTTACCATTGAGCTCTCTGCCTCAGTTATAGGCACTTGGTTCTTAAATGGAAATCAGCTTCAAGACGATGAACGTTTCTCCATAAGGCGTTCGCGTACACACCAGTCCCTACGCATTCGTGGGGTACGGGACACCGACAACGGAGCAGAGATCACCTTCATTGCCTATGGAATTCGAGATTCTGCTGCTTTGTACATACAAGGTAAACACTTAACTCTGATTTCCTTGCACTGAGATATATTTATAAGGATATTAACTGTTGTATTTGTGTTGTTAAACTTGCTTATATATTCCCATCAATCAGCTCCACTGGTAAAATTCACTCCACTTTCTGAAATGGATCGAAACAAATTTGTGGAGGTTGGCAACCCTATAGTGCTCTACTGTGAGCTGTCAGACCCTGAGGCTCCAGTTCGTTGGTATAAGAATGGTGTTGAACTTCAAGCAATGGAAGGTCTGCACATCCAATCAGAAGGAACAATGAGGAGGATTGTCATCCAATCAGCTGATTTCTCCCACTCAGGAGTTTATAGTTGCGACGCTATTGATGATGTCATCAGGTTTAACGTGGAGGTTGAGGGTGAGTCATTTTTGTTCTTATTATTCCTTTCTTCAAAGTTGTTAATCAGCCTCATAATGTTGACATGTTGGAAATCTAAGAATGAAGGCATTTATTAATAACATTCATTTGCATTCCTGTGAATCAAAATCAAATGAGTATGTCCAACAATGGAATCTTGCACTTCCAAGTCTGTAAAGTTTACCAAATAATGCTGAACCAAAACACATATAGCCCCACCAGTGAGGTTCTCAGTCCTTCCGGAGGATGAGAGGAACAAGTTCATTGAAGCAGGCTCGCCGATAGCACTGCAATGTGAGCTCTCAGATCCACTCGCCCAGGTCTCCTGGTATAAAGATGGTGTGAAACTTCTACCACAAAATGGACTAGACTTCAAATCCAAAGGCACAGAGAGGCAAATGATTGTCCAGACAGCTGAATTTTACCATTCAGGGCTGTACAGCTGCAAGACAAGGGGTGATGCTGTCCACTTCAATGTGGATGTTAAAGGTGATTTAAATTTTTACTAGTGAATTAAATTACAATTTTATTTTGCCTGATAAACAATGGGAAGACAATGGCAAAGTTGATTAAGCCTGTACACATTTTAAAATATATTTTAAGTTATATTAATAAAAATGACTATTAAAATCATAAAGTAAGTACTCTCTAAAATATCCATAGCCCCACCTGTGAGGTTCTCTGCTGTCCCTGAGGTTAAGAGGAGAAAGTGCATTGAAGCAGGCTGCCCCATTGTTCTGCAGTGTGAGGTATCATACTCTACTGCACAGGTCCAGTGGTACAAAGATGGGGATCAGCTCCTTGTAGAATCTGGAGTAGACTTAATCTCAGATGACTGCATGAGAACACTCAGTATTCAATCAGCACACCCGTCACTGCTTTCTGTATTGCTCTTTTGTCAAATTCTTTAGTAATGTTTCAAGGTTTTTTGCTTCACAATACCTCTGTCAGCATTTTCTCTGCTTCAGCTTTACAATTTTGTATTATCTTCTCATTATGTCATGTTGTTCTTGTATATTCAGTTGTTACGTTATCTTAAAGCAACAGGTCTTTTAATCTATATAATTTCCTGTCATTCTTGACGATTCTGATATAAACCATCATCTGTAGCTGCACCAGTGAGGTTCTCAGCTGTGCCTGAAGCTGAGAAGAATAAATGCATTGAAGCTGGTGGACACTTTGAACTCCACTGTAAGGTCTCAGACCCTACAGCCCAAGTCAGCTGGTTCCACAACAATACACAGCTTCAGCTAGAGACTGGTTTGGACATTCAGTCAGAGGGAGATGTAAGGACTCTGGTAGTCAATCCAGCTGAGCCCAGTCATTCTGGATTGTACCGCTGTGAATCATCTGACGACTCTGTCCAGTTCACTGTGGATATCAAAGGTGATTTATGACTTTTTGAGAATCTTGTACATTCAGTAACTCATTTGCAAAACTAGATGCAATCTAACAATCAAGCTTTTTGTTGTCTGCGTCTCTTAGCATTGCTGTTATGGACATGCCTCTCACCACTGCATCCAACTTGTTAGCAGTGATTTGATACAGATGTTACACGTTTTGTATTATTTAACTTGCTTCTTGGCAGATGGTCTGAGAAATCACAGATAGGCAGTCTAGATTACTTTTTAATAAAAGATTTTAATTATGTATATTCTTTAATAATGCATCGGATCACCTTTAGACCCACCGGTGATGTTCTCAGCATTACCAGACACTGTGAAGAACAAGCTGGTTGAAGCAGACTACTCCACTGATTTGCAAGGTGAGATCTCAGATCCAAATGCCAATGTATGTTGCTACAAGGATGGTGTAGAGCTCGTCTCAAAAAGTCAGCCTCATATCAAATCGGACAGTACCAGGAGGACGTTAGCTGTCAAGACAGCACAGCGCTCTAACTCTGGATGGTACGACTGTGTGAGAACGGGTGATGTCATCCAGTTTAATGTACAAGACCAAGGTGATTTTCAAATATTTGCTTCTAATCTACTTAATGTGTTTGTGTGATGACTAACAATTGTTTGCTCTACGTAGCTTTTTAAATTCTCTTTAAATGTATTCTGACAATGTTACTTATATGTCCTTGGCTTCAGTGGCCATAATTGGTTCTGTCTTTCTGAGTTTAGAAAAGTAGTTGAATAAAGCATTCCTCTGTCAATGGTCATCTGTAGTGCCACCACCAACATTTCTGGCTGATCCTGAAGATGAGAAGACCAAATGCACTGAAGAAATGGAACCTGTTGCACTGCATTATGAAATTTCAGAATCTACTCCATATGTCAGCGGGACAAAAGATGAGAAGGTCATGCTTTCTCAATCTGAGCCTGAACCTGAATTTCAACTTGAATTGGAACTTGAATTCAAACCTGAACCTGAAGTTCATGCAGACGCATCCAGAGGAACTGTAATCATCCATGCACCTGAGACATCTCTTTTTGAAGTAAACAGCCAAAAGACACCAGATGATCCCATCCCGTTTGAAATGGACCAAGGTGGTTTGCCACTTATTTGTTTGTCATTCTGAATTAGGAGCATTAACATGGCTGAAGCAAGTCAGTTATTGTTTTCTTTGTGGCTTTTCTAACAGCAGAACTGTCTCACTATGAGGTGTTGAGTGGTGAGACCTATGATGCCTCTGTCCAGTGCACTGTGGATATAAAAGGTGATATAATGCTACCTCAACCCAAGCATTTAACCCAGTGCCTCTGTGCCACTAACAAGGGTGGTTTTAACTATCCAATGGCTCTTCCTGGAGATGCTGGTCCCCTGCATCTTGGTTACCTACCCAAAACAGCTCCCAAAACTAATCCATGCTATCATGTCTTTATCCAACATTCCGTTGGTCTGCAAACCCTTCTTCCAAACTAACACTCGTTCAATAGACTTACCTATCTTCATTTTTCATTTAAGCACATTTAATTTAAACTTAAACTGTACACATCTACATTTGCTTGAGTCATCTTGTCCATGTGTCATTCAGAATCATCATCAGTATTGTCTTGACTGAATTATGTTCCAGAGAGCTGAAATACAGAATGAATAGTTGAGTGAATGAAAGTTGGTGATATGACTTCTTGTGTAATCATGTTGTGTTTTTTAATGTGTTTTAACCACTGTCTGGCTTGTTTTAGACCACTATGTGATATGGTCATCTCTCTTACATTTTTACAATCTTGAAATACTCTTAAAAATTAACCAATCGATAGAAATCTTTAAAAGCTTTTCTGGCTGTGAAGAAAGAAAAGAACTTCACCTTTTCTTTGTGTAAACAATTCAACTCTAGAAGAGTTCCTGAAAACATCAGGAACTGAGGCTGAGATCAAATCTGAAAAAGAGAACAACAATCTCACAGCAGAAAGATTTGGAGAAGGAATTCAGTGGGGTACCCCAGTGTCTATACCTACAACTTTCAGATTGACTGAAGAGGAACAAGAGCCACAACCAATGCTACATCCACAGCTACAACCAATGCTACAGCTACAGCCACAGCTACATCCACAGCTACAATCAATGCTACAGCCACAGCTACAACCAATACTACAACCAGAGCTACAACCACAGCTACAAACAATGCTACAATCACAGCTGCAACCAACAAACCAGACAAATACTTCAGTTTCCGAAGATGAAGGCTCAGATCACATCACAATACAAGAGAGTGGCATGGATCAAGATGTCTTAGCTTTAAAGGTGGATGTTGAAGGTGATTTAAATAGTTAGCGCCATCATTCTGCAAATAATCATGGGAGCAAAATATACGCCATTGACATTTACCACCTAACAACCACTTAACGCCATTCTTCTCTATTCGGATCCATTTACTGAATCTGAATAACTTCAACTTACTTAGAAACAAAAACAGCTCTTTTCTACAATGTAGCTGCATTTTATAATTATTCACTTGTAGAATTCCATCACCAAATATTTATCTAACAAAGATCATCTCACTAAAAAAAAATGCTATTGTATCATCTTGAATCTAACTTGTAGCCAAAATAGTGTAATTTTGATATAAGTAAAACAATGACTATATGAGTAAGATTATTGATAGCAAAGCTATAAATAAGTGCAGTTTATTTAGCTTATTTAACATAAAATATACAATGCAATGTGTCATAATTGTAATACATGTATCTTTTCATATAACTTGAAATATCCCTAGCTTCGAGGACAAATTCCACACCAGTTTGTGGAATGGATGAGAGCACTGATGCAGACTGTTCCAGTGTACTGCTATCTGACAACTCTGACCACACAATCCAAGAAAAACCTATATCCTGCCAAGAAGATGAGAAAACTGTAATATTCAATAAACCTACAACACAGAAAGAGCTCGTCCAGTCATCAGAGATGTGTCTGCAAGAAGCATATGAGACTGTTACCAAGGGTGAATTTGTTGTACATCAAGAGGAAGTGAAAGGTGACTCAAGATTGTTTTTAACACAGCATTAATGAACAAAAGCAACTAACAATGTCTGGCTTTTTGCTTAAATGTTCTGTACCCTAGTCAATCAAATTGATTCACACTTACACTCTTAGTAGTTAACTCACTATAAAACATTGCTTTGTCCCCTCAAAACTGAAGAACCTGGTCATAAAGCAGAATTATTTACACTACCACCGGAAGATGAAGCTGTCAGACCCATTGAAGGTGATTCTCCGGTTCACTGTTACAAGGATGGAATACAGTTCTACTCTGAAAATGGATATATACTTGAATCAGAGGAAAGTGTGCGAAGACTGAATGTTCCAGCCATAGGCTCGGGTCAATCAGGCGTATACCACTACAAGGCAAAGGATGATGACATAATATTTAAGGTGGATGTCAAAGGTGATTTTAAACTAGTTTAAATCCACACTGCTACATAATCAGTTCCAGTCATTTAATCGTAATTAAAAAAAATAGATCTTAAAAAATAAACATTTAAAAACCATTACAAATTCTAAGTAAATGATACTCAGAACAAAACTTTAATGCAGTATAGCCTCTAATTTTTCTGATTGCTATAAAGCAAAGAAACAAATACTTCCCTGTCGTGCATGTTACATGTTAATCATAGAAAACATTTATTTTAAATATTACCTGTTTAGGTCAAATTATCTGCTTACATTAAAACATATCAAATTAAACCCCTTAGCTACATCTTTGCAAACATCAACTATCCACGAGACTGACGGGAGAGAGTCAAAAGATGAAACAGAAACTGCTCATTTTCCACAACCTGAGCTATCGAGCACAATGGCAGAGGTGTGCTGGTACAAGGAAGATGAGGAACTCCAAGAATGTGACGTTAGCACCCAATCTAAGGAGACTTTCAGAGCTCTTGTTGTCAAAACAGCTGAGCCGTCTCACTCTGGAGAACATGCTTATGAGACAGATGATGTCATCGTCCAGTTTGCAGTGGACCTACCAGGTGAATTATCAGTCATCTACGCCAGCTCAATCCATCCGATTACCAAACTAAACACTCCGATCATGCAATGGTCACTAACTCTGTTGAATCTGTTGTTCGGATAAAAGCCAGACTAATAGGTTGTTGTAAGATGTTGTCACTGCTGACGAACATTTCAGCAGAGAAATTACTTATATGCTTTTTTATTATTATTTATTTACATTTCCCTTTCATAGCAGCATCCTGGAAAGTTAAATTAAAGTAAAATCATTTTCAAAACAGTCATTAGAATATTGGCATTAACAAGTTCTCAAGCATGTTTAAGGAAACTTCAAGTAATTCAGATAATTTAATTTAATAATTATCGTGTTGATATATTACTACTACTACAACTAATAATCATTTTTTAAAAATGGTATTCTTCTTAGGGATACTACAATCCCATCACTAACTAACAAATGTTAAAAAAAGGCCTGATAGATACACAAGTAACAAAACTAAATTCATTTTCAGTATGTTTGTCTTTCATGTTTGTTGCCCATGTGTTGTCTTTGTTGTAAAATATCTGTGACTTTGAATGTTGTCCATTACTCTTGCGCTACTAATCTTTCATCTTATATTCTGAAATGTATGTCTCTTTTCTGTTTTGTTTTCCCATTTTATTGATCATTACAGTTAATTGTCGATATATTCTTAAAGTCATTTTCATGTCAAACAGTCTTTCATAAAATACTGAATGTTAGTCAATATTTTGACCCGTTCTTGAGAATCAAGTTTCGAGAAAAACTATAAATGCATGTATGTTTTATAAAAAAAAAGAAACAAACAATATAAAAGTAAATGTGTCTGTACAAAATTATCTGTAGCTCCACCAGTGACGTTCTCCAGTGTCCCTGAGGCTCAACGGACCACATGCATTGAGTCAGGAAGACCCTTTAAACTACAATGCGAAGTCTCAGACCCTGATGCACAAGTATGGTGGTACAAAGATGGGAATAAGGTGCTTCCTCAAGATGGTATTGTTACTATGTATGAGGAAGCAATGAGAACACTCTCTGTGCAAAGTGCTGAATTATGTCACAGTGGAACATACAGCTGCCAGACAAACAATGACGCCATCTCATTCCATGTGGAAATCAAAGGTGATTTGATGTTTTCTTTCATGAAGACACCACATGAGATGTGTGTAAACTGAGCAAGTCAAGCAATCGCCTACAAAACTATGTATTGTGGTTATTCAGAAGTAGAAGGCAAATAATTTGGCCGTTATCCCTTAAAAGTAGTGTTTACTGATTGTCACTCAAGCACATGTATTCACGAATAGGAAAAAAACACGAGAACAACTTACTAGCCAGTTATTTTCCACTAAATCATGCAGTTCTTTCTCTATGCTAGGGGTGGGCAATATGACCAAAGACTTATTTCACAATATGAAAAAAATTCCCGATAACAATATGTCACTATATAGTTATTTTTGTTATTTTATTATTTTATCTTATTAAAAAATAAGAACAAAGAAGCAAATTACAAATAACAGGAAAAATATAATATAACAAAAGTACAAATTAAGTTTTTCAGGTACAATAGGAGGTGCGTTAAATAGGACCTCCTGTAACGTCATGTAGTAAAAAATACTACAGAAACCGAGTAATCAAGTGTAAAATTAAAAATGCAGTCTTCACTGTGTGAATTAAATATAAATTTATTCTTATTAAAGCTACAAAAGGTATTCAAGAAAAAGCAGTAAGATATTTTCTTTTTTCTCAGACATTGATGTATTTATATTAGGCTGCTGTCACTTTAAGACCGAATGTGCGGCTCCAAAATAATGACACACATCCCTTATTTACATTCACTTAAGACAAAAGCAACAACTGTGTTTACATGAATACTCCAGTCCACACAATGGACATTTCGACATAATTGTGTGTGTATTTGATTCAAGCGCACTAAGACACAAAAGAGAGCTGAATTCGTGATCGCATGCTGTCTGAGAGGCGGTTTTCTGTGCGCACGCTTCAGTTGTGTGTCAGTCAGTGCGTGACCACTGCAATGAGTTCTTTTTCTCAGCTTATTGCACTTAATAACTATATTTAATGTCATGCACATCCCAAATTGCATGGCACATGCTTCTCTGAGAGGTGGCTTTCTGTGCGTGTGCTTCACAGGTGTCAGTCAGCGCGAACATTTGAGTGCACACAACAATTGAGTGCACTTGCCACTCTTTATTTTCTCATTCATGCATGTTCCTTTATCACTCTAAAGAGTCAACAACTTTTAGTAAGACTGTGTTACACAGATATATTTGCATACCGTGATATAAACAATATACTGTAGTTAAGTATCTAAAGACAGACACTTTATACTGTACCATCACCACAATATATAGTGTCATAACGCCCAGCCCTACTCTATGCCATTCACAATTTTGTAGCTCCATCACTGAAGTTCATTCCAATTTCAGAAGTGGAGAAGAACAAGTCCCCTGAGGTACACTCACCAAATGTTCTGAAATGTGATATAACAGACTCTACCACTGAGATGCTCTGGTGCAAAGATGATATAGATCTGGCCCCAAAACCTGGGCTCAATTTCCAAAAAGATGGAAATATGAGGAAACTAACTGTCCAATCAGCAGAACTGTCTGATATTGGAAACAACACCTGTCATGCTCCAGGTGATACCGTATCATTCAAGGTGGATGTTCAAGGTGATTTTCACAACACTACCACACAAATTAACTATTAAAATGATAATCTGCTGTGCATTGTTTCATGGCACATTAGATATTTCTTTCATTTCTAATCACTCCCTGTTGAAAAACGTACCTCCTGTGACGTCTTTTACCATCCATTTAAACCCTGCTTCTTTCACTTCTTGATAACTTGATAGCAAACCCTGTGACTAACACATTTGTAGGTTAAGACTGCCTAATTGTCTTTTAACAGATTTGTAGAAATTAATTTGTCAATAATCTACTTTTTTTTTATTTTTTTTATTTTCATAGCTCACCCTGTTAGGTTCTCAGCACTCCCAGAAATTGCAAGGAACAAGTTTATCGAAGCAGGCTGTCCCATTATACTTCAGTGTGAAATCTCAGACCCTACTGCCCAAGTTTCCTGGCTCAAAGATGGAGTCGAACTCCAAGACAGTGGACTTGACATCCAGTCAGAGGGCACTATGAGGAAAATGATCATCCAATCAGCTGAGCTCAAACACTCAGGCGTGTACAGCTGTGAGGCTGTGGATGATCGCATAGCATTCAAGGTGGATGTTGCAGGTGATTTTGAGTCTACATACTTTCTCAAAACCACTAACAATGTGTCAAATAACGCTTCATCCACTAAATGCTGTTTGCCCTTATCAGAATTTAACAAAGTAAACATTCATAACCAAATAATCAAAGCCCCATTTGTTAAATACTAAATTGATCTCCTCACCACATTTGCTGACACAAACAAACTGTAAAAAAGAATTTAAAAGATCTTCGAATCACTTATTGCTATACAATATTAATATATTGTATAGATAATGTCACCTAATTTAGTAGGGTGACCATACGTCCTCTTTTTCCCGGACATGTCCTGGCCAGGATTTCTACATTTGCCTAAAATATCCTGGTTTTGGCTTTGTTTTCCTGTTTTCATACTTTCTGAAGGTAATGATCGAAAAGTAGTTTAACCAATAACATACAGGCGTTGTACATAATCGACCAATCATGGCGCATGAGAAGGTGGGATCTACATATTAGCAATTCAAAAGCATAAGGAGCCGTCTGCTCTCTATAGCTCTCATGGTACTTTGATGTCACGGTGAAAGCATTCTTCTCTGCCTTTCGACAGAGCCATTCTTGCTGCTTTATGGGCTCCTTAACCATTTCCCTAATGCAGGAATATATCTGAAGCTTCACAAGTTTGTTTGCAATATTTCCACCAACTACTACTATCCTTAGGTGCTATTTAACCAGCATCTTGTTTCTCTTTATTTTTAAAGAAACCATTTACGCTGGGCAAGCATGTAACCTTTATTATCTGTGCTTAACAGCACTTCATTCTCACAAAGCTTTCATTAACTGTATTCTCATTTTCTTTGTATTTCATTTGGCTTTTAGAGTGGAGAAAGTTCTACAGGGCTACCCATGCAATCATCATCAGTGCTTGAATTGCATGCTTCATGTTATACTTGTGCGACAAAGTAAAAGCAGCGCAACATAAAACTAATGTCCATTTCCTTTTCATTGCAGCACCTCCTGTGACATTTGCCTACATACCAGAAGCTGATCTGCACAGAAATATTGTGGAACAAGACAATCTACTCCTTTGCTGTCAAGTGCCCAGGTCAGATGCTACTGCACAATGGTACAAGGACGGAGTAGAACTAAAGCCTTGTGACAACGTCCTCATAGAGGCAGAAAACACTATACGAAGACTGATCATCCTTTCAGCTCAACTCTCAGATTCTGGGACATATACCTGTCGTGCTGGAGATAGTGCATTAATATTTAAAGTTAACGTAAGAGGTGAGTAAATATGTTTATATTCATACGAAACAAGTCAAATCTGATCAAATTACATTTACAAGGCTGTGTAACTATTTTCTTTTGCTTTACAGAACCTCCAGTGATGATTGTATATCCCAAGGAAGATGTCCACCTTGATCGCTACGTTCCTGAAGAAATTGTTCTTAGCTGTGAACTTTCACGGCCAAATGGAAAGGTGACATGGTTCAAGGATGGACAGAAACTACAGGAGAGTGAAAACATAAAGCTAAAGACAGAGGGTCCATATAGACGGCTAAAAATTCTGCGCAGTGGTGTTGAGGACTCTGGCGAATATGTCTGTGACACAGCTGATGATTCAATATTCTTCAATCTAAACATAAAAGGTATCAAATTTAGGTTTCAATTGTATTACATGTAGAGATTTGTGATGTCAGCCAGTAGGAACGTTGTTGCAGTAATCAGATCAAGTTATTCAAATGGTTAAAAGATTACGAAAAAAATTTTTTTATCTTAGAATACCATGCAGCAATGAATTGCATGAAATGAGAGATTAGGAACATGCATTAAGAACGTAAATAAGGTCAATTTTGATGTCATGTTGACTTTTGCAATATGTTTCCCTATAGAACCACCAGTGCGCATAGTTTCTCCAAGCCAGTCCCAAATGGAACTTTGCCAACAGACTTCTGAAAGGATGGTCCTGAGCTGTGAAATCTCTAGACCAAACGCCACTGTACGTTGGTATCGAGATGGACTTGAAGTGGAGGAGAGTGACAGCCTAATTCTGGAGGTTGATGGTGTCTATAGGAGACTTATTATCCCAAAACCTACCGTCAAAGACTCTGCAGAATATGTCTGTGACACCGCTGATGACTCAGTGACCTTCTTTGTAAACATTGCAGGTGTGTCAAAGACCCTCTATTTAATAATTCATAATAATAATTTAAAAAAAAACTTCAGTTCTAAATGTCCATAATGACTATTTCTTCGTGCAGAGCCACCAGTTAGATTTATTCGACCAAGGAAAATGGCCTATGGAGTAGAGAAACTTGTGGGAGATACTGTGGTTCTGGAGTGTGAAGTGTCTCGACCAAATGCTGAAGTTAGCTGGAAGAAGGATGGAGTAGAGATCGAGGAGAACAGCAACATAACTATCACAGAGGATGGCACAAGTCAACAGTTGACCATTCACTCTGCAGCTTTTGAAGATGCAGGGCAATATGTCTGTGATGCTAGAGATGATGTGATGGATTTCCTAGTGAAAATCAAAGGTACATTTCTGTGATAAGTAGATTAAAATGCTTTGATCACTGCAACGAACTAAAATTCTGTCCTCTTCCTTCCAGATCCACCACTAAAGATTCTGCGGAAATCTGACATAGAAACAAAGTGCCGATTTGTAGCATCTGACGCTATTGTGTTAAAATGTGAGCTCTCAAGAGCAAATGGAGTGGTCGGTTGGCTTAAAGACAATGAGAAGATTGAGGGAAATGAGCATTTAATCTGTGAAGAGGAAGGGACATTCAGATCTCTGAATGTCCTCAGTGCTGAGTTGAAGGACTCAGGGGAATACATCTGTGATGCACAAGATGATAAAGTTGTCTTCAGTGTTACTGTAGAAGGTACTACTTGTTAAAAGGCAATGTACACAATGAAAAACATGCATGTACATGCTCAGAGAAAATACACAAAACTTATACCTTTAGCTTGTCATTGGGGAAGTACCCAGTAGACTTTTTTATCTTATCTACCCACTTAAGGTTCCATTAGGTGTAGATCAGGTGCATAGCTGTACCTTTGAGGCTATTGCCCTAATGAAAATCTGTTGTACCTTTTTTTCTAACAGTGTAATTAAAAAAATAACTCATTCTTTTTGCTCAGAGGCTCCAGTGTCAATTGTTGGAAATTTAGAGAAGCCAGAACACCACATTTTAATGACAGGAGATGAGCTTATCCTGGAATGTGGGGTATCTCGAGTAAATGCTATAGTCCAGTGGTACTACAATGGATGTTTACTACAAGAGGATTCATGCACACACATTGAAAGCAGAGAAACAATGAGGAAGCTTGTGCTATCAGGACTTCAGACATCTGACTCTGGAGAGTATCTCTGTGATGCCATTGATGACAAAATGATAGCTAGGCTAACAGTTCAAGGTAAATTTAGTAGCATAGCAAAGAAAACAATTTAATATGTATCAGTTGAAACATTGTGTATAAAATCACTAAATAACATGTTTTTTTTTTTCATAGAACCACCATTCAAATTCATAAAAAAAAATGAAAGAACAAATATTTCAGCCTATGAAGAAGACAGTGTGACATTACATGCCACTGTTAATAGAGTCAATGCCCCAGTGAAATGGCAGAGAGGCCATGATCCAATCAGAGGAGATCGTTTCCACACAACAAGTGATGGTAACAACCACTACCTCACTATTAACCCACTTAAGAGGTGTGATACTGGAGAGTATACGTGTCACGTGGAATCTGACGAGATGCATGTCAGTGTCCATGTTAAAGGTAAGACCAGGGAATGGGCTGGGAAGCTTTACAATTCAAATCGTTTTTTTGTACTAAGTTGACTGCCTGTAAAAAGTCTCTAGTAAAATGTTGTTTCTACTGTTTCCTAATCAGCAATGAAGGTGAAATTCTCCAAACCACTAGAAAATGTAGTGGGACTGAAAGGTAGCGATGTGGTTTTAAAATGTGAACTGTACAAGTCAAAGGGAGATGTTCAGTGGCTTAAAGGCAGCCAAGAGATTGCACCAAACAGACATTTTACAATCAGAGCTGAGGGTCGAGTGAGAAGCCTGACAATACATGATGTCACAGAAGATGATGCAGGAGAGTATGCTTGTGAATCTAAAGATGAAAGGACATCAGCTACTGTAGTGGTCAACAGTAAGTTAATTTCTACCAAAGGACTTGTGTTAATCTGCATAAAGCTTAACCTGAAATCAAGAATGAATCACATATTAATTTAGTGCCAATTTCCTGTTCTTCTTATCCCAAGTTCCTCGCATTGTGGAGTTTATCGCAGAGCTACACAACATAACTGTCATGGAAGGAGAAGACACAACATTTAAGTGTGTGGTATCTCCAGAGGATGCAAAGTTGGCCTGGTTTAGGAATGGCCAGCCAATTTCATCAAATGAGAAGTTCAACATCTCAAGTAATGGATTATGCCATATGCTGCATATCACCAACTGCCAAGTCTCAGATAGCTGCAAGTTGACAGCCGAGGCTGAAGGTGTGATTTCCAGAGCTATCCTTCAGGTCCAAGGTAGAATACCATCCATCTTTATTTCACTGCTTTATTGATTTTCGTTTGCTTACCAATCAATTCAAATGTGACTTATGAACATGTATTCATAGTTTCAACCTTTGAAGTAACAAATTCATTAATGGGTCATTTTCTACAAAATAATATTTGGAGTGCAGGGTGTGTTAGGTTTTTAAGAGCCTGTACAGGTCTTTAATGCCATGTCAACATGTTTGAGTTTAATAATGACCCTTTCAGACATGCCTGAATTGTTGAAAAGGTGCTTATGATGGCTTGTGCTTAACAGCTTCTCCAGTTAGATTTCCACTCTTAACTGACAGAGACAAGTGTTACTACAGCATATAGCAATGTACTGTAGAATGAGAAGCTGTACTCCAAGCACATGAAATAATGTCATTCTCATTGGCTTTGCTCATTGGTTTTCAATTATAAAGAGTTTTCCAAAGTGTTCAAATAAATGAGGAAAGATCTTAACATTTAACCTTATCTGTATTCAGAGGCACAGGTGCTTTTCACGAAGAGCATGGGCCCGGTAGTTGCAGAGGAGTTTGGTGAAGCAACGCTTGAGGTGGAGGTCAGCCATGAAACTGCAGAGGTGCGGTGGATGAGACAAGGAGTGGTAATACATCCAGGGTCCAAATTCACCCTGAAGCAGAATGGCAAAAAACGTTCTCTCACAATCCACAAACTCACCCTTTCAGACCGGGGCACCTACAGCTGTGAAACACTTCATGACCGTACACAAGCCAAGCTCACTGTGGAACGTGAGTCTGCACATGCTGCTTTCTTTCTCACTGTGTACTGTTATTAGCATTTCTTTATGGTGATGGTCCCTCATTACTGCCCATTGTGATGTTGTTGTCTGAAACAAACTGAATTAAGTGATCAAGAGTAATGCGAGTAAGAGGCAGCTACTTTAGTGACACTTGTTCCATGGTTTGACAGCAGCAAACAGGTGACTGGCAAACTACTTACTGAGTCCTGGGGAACAGCTTTCTGTATTGACATTAGCTCAGAAGAGCTATGATAATTTAATTAAGCATGCCAAATGAGAACTGGATCAAGAGCTGGTAGAAGGTCATGGCTAAGTAACCTTTTAATTCCTCTTAGTTGCCTGTGAAACACAGATATTATGAGAGGAGGATAAAAGTTTTATGTGGCGCTACTCACAACTAATTTCCATTGCCTTCAATACCAATCTAATTTCAAACTTACCAAACAAACTTTTCAATATCTCTTAACATAACTTTTTAAGCTAAAATTAATTTACAATTTGGAAAACAAGCAATTAATTACCAGTCATATACATTCCTTTAAGGATAGGTCAAGACGATGAAGCTGTGTTGTACAAATGAGCAAGTGATGAGAGAAAGTCTGCACTTTGGCTGTTCCTGGCACCAACTATGAATCTGGATCTGTTTTCATTGCAGCTAAATTTGTGCACTGGCCTTCAAAATCTAGGGTGGTGTCACCAACTCTCTAAAATAAACCCCTCTTTTCCACGGGGAATGCCTGTCTGCCTGTCTGTTTTGGAAAACTTTAAAAAATGTTGGCATAGCCCTGATCGAAAGCAGGATTTAGTGTATTGCTAACACCAAGTGGACAAAACAGAGCCAGAGCCTAATTCAACAACTGTTGTTCTATTTATTTCTCTTTATTACCTTTAGCTTTCATCTTAATCTCTCTTTCTTTTCCAAACAATTAACCAATTTCTAATTGCATCACCATTGAACTATACATTTTTTTGGCTTTAACAACCTGTGCTTTCTCACACAGCACGAAAAATCAAGATTCGGAAAGGTCTAACTGAGATCCAGACTTATGAACGAGAGACGGCTTCGTTTGAGGTGGAGCTGTCACATAGCAATGTGGAGGGTGTATGGCAGAAGGATGGGCACATTCTCAAAAACAACAACCGTTTGCGCATGACTGCAAAAAGACGAGTACACAGCCTAACCATCTCCAACCTGACCTTGGATGACACTGGAACCTACATATTCTCTGTTGACAACATCAGATCAATAGCAAGATTGGAAGTTAAAGGTAAAGTGCAAACCTAAACTATTTTTATAGATGAAGCTTAAAGGGATAGTTCACCCCAAAAGGAAAATTAAGTAATTATTTACATTATTGAATTAATGTTGTTCTAATGCTGAATGCCCTTTTCTTTTTTCGGATCCACAAAACAAGAAATGCTGTAAAATGTCCTCATCCATTTACTGTAATGGCAGTGAAAAGCAACCAGCTTCAAACCTGAACACAGAATGATGCCATGCGACTTGTGCTATATTCCAAGTAGGGCTTGGCGATATGGCCAAAAAATTATCACAATAAAATTTTTTCATATCAGTTGATATCGATAATTATCACAAAAATGTCACATCTTTATTTCTTTCAAGTGTAAGACCAGACCATTAATTGTGGTTTTAAACTACTCTTTATGGTCGGAACATGACAAACACTTCACGTTTTTTAAATTACATTTTTTTTGTAATTTTTTTCCTAAATAAAATAAATATATTAATAGAAAATTTTATTTCTTAGTTTCTGCATGTTCTAATCATGAAACAGGTTTGTGTTGCCTGACTTTGATGACGCGTATCTTCAGCACAGTACAGTGTGCTGAAGATACGCACGTGCTGAAGAAAACAGTGTTATCATTTATATAGTTATTGTTCTTGGTGTGAACGGGCTTTAAGAGTGCCACCCAAGCTACTGAGTCTGCATTTACTTTATTAGCTTTTTACAGTGCCTAGCAGCTCTTTCTGTTCATGGGCATCTAAAAGAAATAAATAACACAAACTAAACAATACAAAAATGTATTAAAATATTACATATTTATTAAATGTATATTATTCCTAATTTATCTGTAAGATAAATAAGATGCTAAAATCGTTATTTATACAGTGATACTGTCATTCAGTGTAATGGATGACACTGTGGTATAACAGAGAATTTGCATCACACCAAAAGACAAAAACATTACCCTGAATGACGAAACTTCTACTTCAGCTTGTACTGCAGGCAATCAACTAGCAACCTATTTCAAACACTTGACAGCAAATGACAGCTTTCACTATTGATCAAACTTGTAATCCAGTTAAAAAAATAAAGAAAGAAAGAAAAATGTACAAAAAAACCAACACAGCATAAGAGTGCCAGTGCAGTAAGACAAAATACACTTGTGTTAAACATTTTCTGAAAACAAGTCTTAAAGGGGTCATTAATTGAGAAATCATATTTTCCTTGATCTTTTGACATATAAGAGGTCATTGTACTATAAAAACATCATGTAAGTTTCAGAACTCAAAACTTCCTTGTTAGTCCAAAAAAAGCTTTTATTGAAACCAAGCTGCTAAAACAACTCGTTTCGGATTTTATCTCAGTATGACATCATAGTGCATTGAAAGACTACCTCTACAGAAGATCACAGCCTACTTCTACATTATTGCCTCTTTAGCCCCGCCCACCAATTCCAGCATGTTGTAGAAGGTGAGCAAATATGAGAGGGATCTCTGAGGATTAGATTAGAGCCTGACCGATATATCGTTTAGCCAATATTATCGGCCGATATGAGCCTGTCGCGATATATCGGTATCGGCAAATATGCCGCCGATATTAACTTTTTTTTTTTACAGAACATATAACGCAGATTAAATGCTTCTGCATGGTGTAATTATTTAGTTTGTCCAGCAGAGCGCGCTCCATTGTTTGCTACTGGCGACCCAGGTTAGTGTAGTGTAGAGATGCACGGATGAGCTCAAACTTCACCCGAGTCCGCTGCTTCAAATTATCC